CAATCCCCCTCCAGAAAAAACGTGATTTATGTTGCAGAAGACGTCGAAAACGTAATCATAAAAAAAAAAAACAACAACAAAAATCAATTTTTAATTTTCTATAATTTTTATTTATTTTTCTATATTTTTATTTTTCAAAACAACAACAAGAATAAAATCGATTTTACAAATTTCTAATTTTCTTCAATTTTATATTGGGTTTTTGTTTATATTTTTTATTTTTTTAATTTTCTCAAAATATTTTTTTAATTTTTTTTTTTCAATTTTTTATGTTTTCATTTTTTTTTAATTTTTTCAAAATTTTTAAAATTTTTTTTAATCAAAATTGTTTTTCATTTTTTTTTTAATTTTTTCAATTTTTTGTTTTTTAATTTTGTTTTTTTTTATTTTATTTTTTTTTAATTTCCTCAAATTTTTTTTTCAATTTTTTTATTTTTTTTTAACTTTTTCAACATTTTTTTAATTTTTTCAAAAATTTTTAATCACTTTTTTTTCAATTTTTGTTTAATTTTTTTCAATTTTTTTGTTTTTTAATTTTGTATATTAATTTAATTTTTTTTAATTTTCTACATTTTTTATTTATTTTCTATATTTTTTATTTTCCATATTTTTATTTTCTATTGTTTTTTTTTTTTTTTTGTAAATATATCTTTTTACATTATTTTGTCTTGTAACAATAATAACAACAACAAAAACAATAGAGCTTCATATTCAGCCATTGATTACAACATATCTGCCTATTTCTTGTGTGTGTGTGTGTATGTCTGTGATGACAACAATGCCGACCATTAAAAAATGTAAACCCAACAATATCATCAAACACTTTGTGTGCATGCTCTCCTCTTTTTGTAAATGTTTTTTTTTTTATATTTTATTTTGGTAATGACAATAATACCCGAAAAATAATGAAACACACAACATAAACTTTGCACAAAACAACAACAACAAACATACACATACACCTCATTTTTCCTTCCTCCCCCCTTCCTCTTCGCCTTTGCAAAAGAGTTAATCTTGTATGCCTAACACCAAAAACCATACACCACACAACAACAGTAATACGAGCAATAACAACAACACCAATATACGAGCAACACTTTATGACGATTGCAGCAATCCCGTTTTTTCTATTGTTTTTTGAGTCTATGATCAGTTGTCTAGCATTCCCCAATTTATTTTTTTCATTGTTTCCCATTTTTATTTTGGCCCCAAAAATGCCTTATATTTACCCTTTTATTTGATTTTAGTCCATCTCTCTTATTCTCTGACTCTCGCTCGCTCTCTCTCTTACTCTGTGATTTTTTTTATATTTACTTTTTTATTATTTCATAATAATTTGGCTACAAAGTTTCACTTTCGCTTTCAAAATGGTTATGTTATTGGCTCTTATGCTCTTACGGTCTTGCACTCTTCTCATACACAACACTGTAAACAGAGAACACGAATGAGCGAGAGTTCGTCGTCGTCATCCATTAGCATCGTCGTGTAGTGAGGCGTATAAGCAATGTTTTGTTTTGCCTCGGCTGTGTGTGACTATGCCTTTGCTATGCTGTGTGGCTCTGTGTGTGTGGCTGTGTGTTCCTCTGTTCTGCTTCTTCTTCTTACATCATGTAAAGTTGTTGTGTGCCGTTAGAGCGCCACTCTGAGAGTGAGAGAGCTTTAATTCTCTACTCTTTACTTAATAACACAGCACTCTACCATGGGCTCCATTGAATGTATGGTGTGTGTGTGTGCCTTATGTTGTTATGCTGTTGTTGTTATTGGGGCTTCTCCACATGACTCAGCTGAGTAGTGTAGTGTAGTGAATTGTGTGTGTTTGTATGGTATGTGTGTGTGCCTTTTGTTTTGTGTGCTGTATTAAGAGGCCTGGCCAAATGAAAGTGAAACTTTTTTTGCTGTAAATGAAAATGAAATGAATTTTTTTTAAGAGCGCGCCTTAACACAGAGTGTTGCTGTGTGGTGGAATGGTAGTTGGGGAGGGGAGGGAGGTGTTTCAGTATGGGAGTTTTATATATATGTTATATTACAGAATATACTACGTAATCGTGTTTTTTTCTGCATGGTGTTGTTGTTGGCTGGCACATATTGTTGGTATAGTCTCTGTTCATGGGGTTTTCGTTTTCATTTGAATTGAATTTTTTTGGGGCCATTGTGGGGAGAGATGGAAGAGACGAAGTAGAAGAAGTCGTCGTCATCGGCTCTGTTGGCTGCTGCGTTAACGTCTTGGCTAGCATTTTAATATTATGTAGTTTTGTTGGTGTTTTTTGGGGGGCCGTCCGTGCAAGACCGTTCAAAGTTGCTGTCGTTGCGTTAACAGTGCGCCTTCGGTCGTCTGCGCTGCTGCCGTTGCTGTTGCTGCTGTAGAGTATTGCGGGTATCCTCGCCATTACTTGGGTTTAGTCAATCGAGATACGTGGTTGATGTTGGTCGTGTTTTCGGCGTAACTAAACTAAACAAAATAAAGCAGAATAAAACAACACACAAACAAAAAAAATCATTAAATTAAATAGAAAAAAAGCAACAACAAGAAGAAAAAATCATTTTGAATGGTTATAACAATAATAACAAAAAATATAAATAAATAGAAAAATATTCACAATCCAAAAATAAAACTAAACAATTATCGAAAAAAAAATATTTTTGAAAAATAAAAAAATAAACCGTAACGTAAATAAAAAAACAAATTCCCAAAACAAAAATAAACCACAACACAAAAAGTGTTTAAGTTCCAAATTTTTTACAATAGCAGCCCCAGGATTATGTTTATTGTAAAAAACAACGGCTTAACACTTTTCTTGCAGCAACAACAATAACAATTAACCCATTAAAGTGGAATAACTAAGAGAAAAATTGAAGAAAAGCTTTATAAAAAAATTCTAAAAAATAACAAAAACAACAATTTTGTGTTTTGGTGTATGACAGAAAAAAAATCACAACTTCCAAAAATTTTTTGAAAAAAATTATGAAAAAATTTTCATAAAAATTAAAGCAGTAGTAAATAAAACCCCAACTTTTTGTTTAAAAAAATCACCAATTTTTTTAATTTTAAAAATTATTTATTAAAACAGAAACAACAACATTAAGCAACTTTCAAGTACCATCAAAAATTCTGGAAATAAATTCATAAAAAATATTTAAAAAAACAGCAACAAAAAAATCCAACTTTCTGTTTTCGAAAAAATTATGAAAATAAAAATTCATAAAAAATAAATGCAAAAAATTAATTTAAAATAAAACAACAACAAAAACCCATTTCAAACAAAAAAAAATTAATTTAAAAAAAATTGTGAAAATTTTATTTAAAAAAAAAATTTTGAAAAATTAATTTAAAATTTTTTTGAAAAAATTGTGAAAAATTAATTTAAAAATAAACAACAACAACAAACCGCTTTCATTTTTGTTGTCAAAGAAAAACCAAGAAAAAAAAATTATTAAAACAAAATTTCATAAAAAAATTAATAAAAAAAATTGTAAAAAATTAATTATTTAAAAATAACAACAACAAACAAACCCATTTCAAGTTTTTATTTCGTTTTCAACGTAAAACCAAGTACCTGTTCAAAACAAAAAATACAAATTTTTCTCAAATTAAAAAAATAAATATTTAAAAAATTTAAATAAAAAATATTTAAAAAAATACAAAATATTAAAAAAAATATATAACAACAAAACATATATATTTACGCAAAAAAAAAGTTGTGATTTCTATTCTAAAAAAAAAAAAAACAACAACAAAATAAAAAACAAAACAAAAATTAAAAAAAAAAATAATCGAAGAAACCCCCAAATATATTTTGAAAAAAAAAAATCATCGAAGGAACCCTCAAATATTTTTTTTTGAAATCAAAAAATCTATAAAATATTTGAAAAAAGAAAACATCAAAAAAACCCAAAATATTTTTTTTAGAAAAAAATCATCAACAACCCAAAATATTTTTTTAAAATAACAATTTCAAAAAATCCAAAATATTCGTTCTTCAAAAAAAAATTTCATCGTTAAAAAAGAAAAAAAAAATAATTTTTTTCTTTGAACCATAATTTCCAACAAAATGTGGACAATCTCTTGGCTGCCGTGGACCACCGAAGAACCAGAGATTTGCTTGAAATTTCCAGAAATTGAGAAAATGAAAAATCAAAACTGAATAAAAAAATCAACCACTTGCAAAAAAATTCTATTTACCGTCCCCCTTGAAAAAAATTTCAAATTAAAAAATTTAAACCCACCAAAAAACCTCATGAAAAAAATTTTTTTGTTGAAAAAAAAAAAAATAATAAAAATACAAACACATCCTAAGCCTTAAAAATACAACAACAACAAAAAAAAAAACACAAGCCTTAACATTTAACAAAAAAAAAAATATTTAATTAAATTAAAAAAATAAATAAATTTAAAAAAATCAAAAAGCCAAAAAAGTGACCACCAAAATATTTAAAAAACGTCTCTAAATATCCCCATACCCAAAAAGTGCAAAAAATCCATTAAAAAATTAAATAAATTTGTTCGCCTCAAGTCATTGAGAATTATCACAGGCATTTAAAATAGCCAGCCTACCCAATGCACTGAAGTCAAGCAACACACATAAGGCCTTGCATACAAAACAAAACAATAACAACAACAAAAACAAACCCAACACTGCAAGTGAAAATAAAAAAAGCTCTCACACACACGTACTCTCTCTCGCGTTCATTCGTTCTCCATGCCTTCCTACTATTGGTCTTCAAACCCTGCGTTGCAACATCAAACCACAACTGTGTTCTAAAAATTTCAAAAAAAAAAAATCTTCGAAAAAAGTGAAAATTTTTATTTTAACTGAAAAACGAAAAATTGAAAAAAAAATTTAAAAAAAAATTTTTGAAAAAAAAAATTTTTGAAAAAAAATTCAAAAAAAGTTTTGAAAAAAAAATTGTGAAAAAAGTAACAACTTTGTTTTTGAAATCCACCAACCCCCCTCCCTCCCCGTTGTAACACCACAATTTTTTTTATGAATTTTGTGTGAAAAAATGTTATTGAAAATGGAACAACAACAAGCGACGGCGTCGTTTATATCGTCGCTAAATATCTCACCATTTTCGCTGCAATTGGAACAGGAGCAACCCTCCAGTCCAGCGCTGGGAGCTGGCAATTCCAATTCAAATCAGCAGCTGATAAATGCGGCAGCGGCTGCGGCCGAGACCGAACTGAATGCGGATGATTACAACAGCTATACGCTGCATTTGACAAGCAATAATAGCGGCAACAACAACAACAACAATAGCCACCAACAGCAGCAGCAACACCATCAAAATCAAAACCAACACCATCAGCAGCAGCAACAACATCACTACCACCAACAACAACAGCAGCAACAGCCACAACAACACTACCAACAGCAACCACCTCAACAACAACAACAACAGCAGCAACAACAACAACAAAATATTGCCAATAATCCCAACTTTCAATATTCCTATATCTATAACATCGATTCTCAATATATATTTCCCACAGGTTATCAGGACACCACCTCCTCGCATTCACAGCAAAGCGCCAATGGCGGCGGCGGTGGCGGTTCACAAGCCAACAATGCCGCCCTGCTAAGCGGTGGTGGTGGCATGGCCCTCATAAACGGCGTTGTCACCCTTAATGCCGGTCAAAATTCTGCCATCAATAGCGGCGGCGGTAACGGTGGCTCATCGGCCTCTTCAGCCTCTGGAACCTATATGTCCCTGTTGCCACCGGCCACCTCTTCATCATCGGCTCCACATTTGAGCGTATCGCATATGGGTGGCAGCGTCGGTGGTGGTGGCGGTGGCCATAATGGCCCCGGCGGTGGTGGTACCAGTGCCACTGCTAGCGGTTCGACGCCGGATGTCATAGATTTCAAACATCTTTTCGAGGAGTTGTGTCCGGTGTGTGGTGACAAGGTGAGTGGCTATCACTATGGCCTGCTCACCTGCGAATCGTGTAAAGGTTTCTTCAAGCGTACAGTACAAAATAAGAAGGTGTATACGTGTGTTGCGGAACGCTCCTGTCACATCGATAAGACACAGCGTAAACGGTGTCCGTATTGTCGTTTCCAGAAGTGTCTGGAGGTGGGAATGAAATTGGAAGGTGAGTACCGACATTTTTTTTCTAATTTTTTTTATATCAAATTTTATCCGTAAAACGGATAAAAAATTTTATAGGGTTCGGATAATTTCTTTTTTATCCATAAGAATACGGATACATTTTTTTCGAATTTTTTTTATCCCTGAAAAATCGAAAAATTATGAGGGTTCGGATAAAATATTTTTTTTTCTTAATTTTGGATAATTTTTTCTTTATCCGTGAAACGGATAAAAATGCGAATAACGCATTCGATTTTTTGGATAATGTGGATAACGCATTTTTAGGTTGCGGATAATCCCTTTATAGGGCTAGGATTTCACCTAAGAAAGTTTTCCGCTATCCTAAATCGGAAAAAATAATTTTCGGAAATTTTGGATAATGCGGATAACAGGTTTTTAGGGTGTGGATAATGTGGATATTGCCTTTATAGGGCTAGGATAGCACTCAAGACTATTTTCTGCTATCTTAAATCGGAAAAAAAATAATTTTCGGAAATTTTGGATAAAGCGGATAACGGATTTTTAGTGAGCGGATAAAGTGGATAATGCCCTTTTCATATTCGGATAATGTCAAAAATGATTTTCTGTTACTAAAAATCGGAAAAATATTTTTCTGAAATTTTGGATAATGCGGATAATAGGTTTTTAGGGTGAGGATATGTGGATATTGCCTTTATAGGGCTAGGATATCACCTAAGAATGTTTTTCGCTATCTTAAATCGGAAAAAAATAATTTTCGGAAATTTTGGATAATGCGGATAACGGATTTTTAGTGAGCGGATAAAATGGATAATGTCATTTTCATATTCGGATAATGTCAAAAATGATTTTCTGTTACTAAAAATCAAAAAAAAAAAAATTGTAAAATTTTGGATAATGCGGATAACGGATTTTTAGTGCACGGATAAAGCGGATAATGTCTTTTTAGGATTAGAGAAGTATCAAGAATCATTTTCTGTTATTGAAAATAGGAAAAACAAGTTTTCTACATTTTTGGATAATGCGGATAACGGATTTTTGGGTTGTGGATAAAGTAAATAATCCCTATATAGGGTTGGGGTAGAATCAAAAATTATTTTTGGATATCCAAAAATTAAAAAATTTAAATTTTTGCTTTTTTGGATAATGCGGATAACGCATTTTTAATGTGCGGATAAAGTGGATAAGGCATTTTAAATGCTTGGATAAAGTGAAAAATGCATTTATAGGGCTGGGATAACATCTACGAATTTTTTTCTGATATATATAATCAGGAAAATGTTCTTCTACATATTTGGATAATGCGGATAACGCATTTTTAGTGAGCGGATAAAGTGGATAATGCCCCTATAGAGCTATGATAGTAAAAAAAATCATTTTCTATTATTAAAATAATGCAAAAATGAATTCCTGATATTTTGGATAATCCGGATAACGCATTTTTAGTGTGCGGATAACGTGGATAAAGCCGTTTTAGTGCACGGATAAAGTGGATAATTGATTTATAGGGTTGTGAAAATGTCATACATTATTTCAGATACCCGAAAATGGGGAAACTGATTTTCAGATATTTTGGATAATCCGGATAACGCATTTGTAGGGTGTGGATAAAATGAATAATATCGTTTTCGCATCATCTCTAAAAAACTATTTTATTAAGATTCGAATTATTCGAATAACACGGATAAAGCATTTACGAAGTTCGGATAATGGGATTTTCATCATCCGAATAACGTTAGATGACATTCAGAACTCATATAATAATTTATTTTGAAAATTATTAAAATTTTCCTTATGTGAAATTTTTAGAGAAATTTGAATTTCATATGAAATTTTTATTTCACATGAAATAAAAAGTCTCGGAGCACATAGAAAAACTAATTTGTGATTTTTTTAGAAGTTTCCCTCGTGTGAAAGTGTAAGTGAAATTTTTATTTCACATGCAATTTTTAGTGAAATTTTTATTTCACATGCAATTTATGTGAAATCTTTATAAACAGACTCTGGGCACATAGAAAAACTAATTTTTGAATGTTTTTAAAAATTTCATTTGTGTGCAATTTTCAATGAAATTTTTATTTCATGTATAAATGTATGTAAAATGTATATGAAAATTTCAGCCTTTCAAAGAAAAAATAATTTTTGGAAGTGTTTGAAAATTTCCCTTGTGTGAAATTGTTTGAGAAATTGTTATTTCATATGAAATTTTTTGTTGAAATTCGGTTTCAAATGAAATTTATGAAAAACTGGATTAAAAAGTCGCGGAGCACATAGAAAAACTAATGTGTGGCTTTTTTTTTGAAGTTTCCTTGTGTGAAATTTTTATTTCATGTGAAATTTTGTAGTAAAATTTGTATTTCAAATGAAATTCACAAAAAACGATATAAAAAGGAAAATTTAATTTTTTAATTTTCTTTTGAAACTTTCCTTGTGTGAAATTTTTATTTCATATGAAATTTTTTAGTGAAAATTTTATTTTACATGAGATTTATGAAAGCACATAGAAAATTTAATGTGGAAATTAGATTTTCTATGTGCTTTTCAAACTTTGCTAGTGTGAAATTTTTATTTCATATGAAATTTTTATTTCGCATGAGATTTATTATGATTTTTTGATAAATCTCATGTGAAATAAAAATAAGAGCATAATAAAGGATCGGAGCACAGAGAAACTCTATTTTTTAAAATTTCTTTTGAAACTTTCTTTGTGTGAAAATTTTTTTTCATATGAAATTTTTTTAGTGGAATTTTTATTTCAAATGAGATTTATCAAAAAACGATAACAAAATGATCCAATCACATAGAAAAAATAATTTGTAAGTTTTCCTTTGAAACTTACCTTGTGCGAAATTTTAATTTCATGTGAAATTTTTCTTTCGTCTGAGATTTATCAAAAAACCATAATAAAAGGATCATAGCACATAGAAAATGTTATTTTTAAAATTTTTTAGAATCTTTCCTTGTGTGGAATTTTAATTTCATATGAAATTCTTTAGTGAAATTTTTATTTAACATGAATTTTATAAAGAATCGATATTTAAAGACTGCGAGCACATAGAAATGCTAATTGTTGAAACATATCCGTTGCGTGAAATTTTTATTTCATATGAAATTTGTAGTGAAATTTTTATTTCATATGAAATTTTCTGAAAAATAATTTTTAGTATTTTTTTATTAAAACCCAGTACACATTTTTATATTCCCTCACACAATTATCAACTAAATTTCCATCTCCCCCAATAATAATAGGAAATAAATGATTTGTTTTTAGTTTTCAATTTTTTTTTTTCTTTTTCATAAAATTGAAAAGAATCTTTCATAGACGAAGCAGAATAAAAATTATTATCGATTTTTGTTTCGCTGCGTATATCTTTTGTTTTATTGTAAAGCTTCTAAGTCATGGTTCGTCGTTTCTCTGTTCGATTATTATTCTGTGTGTGAGAGTGAGTAAGTGTGTGTGTTCGTTTTTCTCATCATATTTTTGCTATATTGAGGCAGGCAGTTTTTATTTTTATTATTTCTATGATTCTAGTATTCTTTAGGCCTTCTCATTATCAAGTATCTTGCTGGAATAGAAACAAATTGAAAACAAAAAACTTTGAAAACCAACAGCAACAAACAACAACAACATCACCCACCAAGTGCTGGCAAATGAAAAAAAATGTTGTTGAGGCTTCTGTTGTTACTGGCAACAACATTCAATGCCCACCCGAACTCCCCGAACCGACCGCCTCTTACTGAATATATTTGTTGTCCGTACGTTTTTTGCGGATCGTCACAACCAGCTGGCTTTTGCCTAGTAGTGTCGTAGTTAGTAATAATATTACGTAGTTATGTCTCTTGTGGGTGGGTGGTTGGATGGCTGGAATAACATAGACGATGGTAGGCTAGGAAGGAAATCCAAAGGATTTAACGACAGCATGTCATTGTATTTCATTGAGGTCTATATTTGGAAATTGAGGGTGGGAGATTTTAAGAGTGTGAAATAAGGACAAGAACGTTTATTTTTTCTTAATTTTCCTTTTTATGGAATAAAATACATTTAGTAAAGATTTTTTTTAAAAATTTCATAGGAAATTTTCCAAACTTTCATATGAAATAAAAATTTCACATGTGGGAAATTTTCTAAAAACTCTTAAAATTATGATTTTCATTAATTTCTATATGTTTCGAATAATTTCCTATGAAATTTTTGAAAACTTTCATATGAAAGAAAAATTTCACATGTGGGAAATTTACTAAAAACTCTTAAAACTTTCGTTTTCATTAATTTCTATAAGCTTCAAGTAATTTCCAATGAAATTTTAAAAACTTTCATATAAAATAAAAATTTCACATGTGGAATTTTTTTAAATCCCCGGAAATTTTCGAAATACAAAATCAAAAATAGTTTCTTTGTGTACTAAAAGCCATTTCATAATGATTTTCATCAAATTCCATAAGCTGCAAATTAATTCATATGAAAGTTTTGAAAATTTCCAAAAAATTTCACCAAGCAAGTATGGAAAAATTCCAAAAATTCCGAAATTATTATTTTTTTTATTGAATTTAAAATCATTTCACAATGACTTTCATCATCAATTTCCATATGCTCCAGGTTAATTCACATTGAATTTTGCAAAAATTTGATATGAAATAAAAATTTCTTTGAATATTTCACAAGGCAGTTTTTTTTTTTTTTTGTAAAAATTCGCAAAATAGTTTCTCTATTAATAGGAAGTAATTTTATATTGATTTTTTACAAAATTGCATAGGATTTCTCAAAACTTTCATATGAAATAAACATTTCACATAATTAACTTTTTCTAACAATAACTCAAAATTAGTATCTTTGTATTAGAAATCAGTTCAACATGATTTCCATTTATTTCTATATGATTTGGGAATTTTCCAAAATTTCATATGAAATACAAATTTCACAAAGCAATTTTTTTCCACAAATCCTTAAAATAGGCTTCGTTATGAACTCAAAGTCATTTTATATTGATTTTTCAAGAAATTGCATATGAGTTCACCAAACTTTCA